TGGGCTCAGGAGTAATTTTATCATACCTTTTAAAACAAACTTCCAGAATTATAGTACTCTATCTTGTGGGCAGAGAAATTAATTAAAGAGCAGAATGATAAAAGGATCTTCAGAAAACAGTATCTAAATAATACAGCATTTTTGTTGTTTTCTTTGAAGGGAGGAAGGGAAGAAATTTCAGTGGTTGTATAAGTAGGTAATCTTTTTAGAAGTCTCATGCATTGTAAATGAGATTGGCAGGAAATCCAGCAGTCCAGGTCATAGTTCTACTCTCCAGCTTTGTGATTTGCTAATGTGAAACACATGCTATCCTTTTGCTCAAAGTTCAAATAACCTGGAAATTCCAGCACTGTAGCTCAGTGACTGAACCAGAACAAGGGCAGAACTTGTCAGGATTTAAGAGCTTTCAGCAAAGCCCGTCAATTACAGTCAGCACCCCATTCCTTAGAAGGATATCAATTATAGATAGTGAGTTGCTTTAGCAAGGGGTGTCAGTGCTGTCAGACACTAGATAGACAACCATGAAGAATCATGAATCTTTCTATTAGCTGTAAAAAAAGAGGAACACTGGTGGAAGTGGGGGGGGGGGTGTAGCAAGAAGGAAGGACAGGTACTATAAATAAGCAGGCCATCTGAACTGTTTAATGCAGTGCTTCACAGAGCATCCTTTTTTAAAAAGTTTTTTTTATTTATAAAACAGTTAAAACAAAGATGGACATAATGTAACATTCCAGTGTATATATTCCTAACAATCTGTTCCTCATCATACATATAATTCTTAATCTCTCTATATACATATTTTTCTATACAATACAGTCTCTAATTTGTTTCTCTATATACTGACATACAGTTTTATATATCTCCATCTTAACACTAACTTAAAACCCGAACAGTTCTCCTTGATTCACACCAACAATAGAATTTGTCCCAGATTTCAAAGTAATCTGACTCTATTTTGTCCTGCATTTCCATTGTGAGCCTATGAATATTTTAACTGTATTGGATTCTGAATAGCATTTGGCAATCAAAATGCACTACCACTTTACTTAACTTTACATTGATAAATAACTCAAGTGTGCATTTTATTTATTTATTTATTAGTAAAGAGTTGGGGTGGTTCAGTATACCACATTACATTTTAAAATGTAACCTGGTTACATTTTAAGCAATGTTTAAAAAAATCAAGTTCTCCAAAAGCAATGAATATAATTACTATTTCCTCTTGTCTAAGGAGATAAATTCTAGCAATATTATCTTAAAGATCAAAATTAGCCACTATCCTCTTCTTCAGCCTTGGAGTTCAAATTCCATAGTCTTCTCCCACGTTAGATTATGTATAAAGAATAAACATATAACAGCTCTGCTGCTTGAAAATTGCAAGAACTGAATTTCAGAAAATTAATATAAATTACAAATTGCCTGAAACTTTGTTGAAATAACCTGGCAGTGATAAATATTTGATATTTATATTCTTGGCAAGGCAATCACTGGTAATATATTTCATTTATTTAATGATGTATCTTTGTAAAAGTATCCTATCTCCCAGAAAGGCCTCCAAATTGGAGAAAACTGAAATATTATTACATAAATGATTCACAGAGTGTATTTCAGAATGTTTAAAACTGCAGGCTTCATTTTGAGATGGCCCTTGTTATTTTTTCTGATACATTATTGGTACTGTATTAGAAGAATAATGATGGTAGTCAAATTGATATTACTCTGCTTCATGTAAAAATTCTTTAGAAATTTCAGTGGTACAAGGTTTGAAGATTATTGTACTGGAGTATAAACTAGTGTTTTAGAAACATCACTAACTTAGTATAAGTCAGATGATGCACTTCAATTATGATCATTCTGAGTTTAATATTTACATTAGTATCTAATACACACAGACACACACAGACACACACACACACACACGTGTATGTATTTTGCAAAATCCATACATGGGCTAAAACAAACAGCCAAAGCAAATTTTGAAAACGCTGACTTTGAAAAGGGAAATAGAGATCCATGCTTACATACAAGATGTTTGCATTCTTTATTGTTAAAGATGTAACTGTTTGTACCAAGAACAAATGAGACAACTTTGACATAATGATTTTTTTTTTTAAAAAAGATAGGGAAATAAAATACCAAGGGGATATTAGCTATACAAAAGGTCAAAAGTGGAATTTATCTGTTCAGTCAAAACCAAAAGATAATAGACTTAAAGAATCAACTACGCCCAAGAAAGTTGGACATGTAAACAAAGGAGGAAGCCTAAGCAAGTTGACAATTAATGAATAATATAAGACAACTGGGCGAAAGCTGCAATTAGGATATAACCAATGTAGATGGACTGCTGAATAAAAAGATAAATGAGCCAACATACAGAATTGTTAATAAGCCATTAACAAGATGAGGCAGATACTTAAAGTTTAATTTAAGACTGCTTTTAAATAATAATCCAAAACACATAGTAGTAGGTATACAGATTCAAATTTGTCTGGAGATAAATTAAATTAGAAATTAACTACAGCCTACATATCCTTATATGGAAGTATATCTATCATATAGTGCAGTAAGAAGCAGATGTCAGTTCTGTCATCTGTAAAAGTTGAATCTAGGTAGACTTTGGATTATAACAGAAATTGAGGCTGCCTATTACTAAGAGATGTGATTGTAAAATATGGTGTTGTTTTATGTTGTATCCCCAGGATGCATGGGTTGTTAATTGGAAAGAGGAAAGAAACCCAGTTAGGAGTGAGGGGATGATTGTGGACATGGGGGGGGGGGGCTGAGAAGAATAGCACAGGCCACATGAGTCCTAGGTGGCTGGGAGGGCTAGCACAGTCTCACAGGAAGCCTGAAAAGAGCTAGGAAGTGCCAGTGCAGGCTGCACTGAGGTTGTGGGTGATTGGGGAAGTTCTGGGAGGTAGTGCAGGCCACATGTGAAATATGGCAAGTCAGGGAGGACCTCTGAAGGCTGAACATGTGTGGGAAAGTGGAAGAAAAAGCAGGAGCAACTTACTTGAGTTTGCAATCTTCCCAGCTGATTTTCCCACTGACATTTCTAGTGGAAAGTTGGAAGGAAGGTTACAAATAGGGTTTATGTGACCATATCTCCCTGTGATGTGCAATCACAAACTGGGCACACAATCACCCATATTGTGATCAAATGACCATGGGAATGCTGCAATGGCCAGAACCTCAAGAACAAATCCATTTTTCCAGGCCTGTTGTAACTTTCAACAATTGCTGAATGAATGGACAATAGCCAAGGACTACCTGTACTGAAACAAAACAAGCATGCAGGAAATTTGTATATCTCTACAAACTATTGATAGAATTCAAAATAAAAGAACCAGTTCCAACCACATTAGAACCGAGAATATGGGATATAGCAGTCAAAACCCAATATGAAATAGGTATATTTTAAATGGTATTATACAAAGGACACGGAAAAAAGAAAATAAGTAAAACTGATGTATTGTCCAATTGATGCCATTGCCTAGTAACCTATTTCCCACACTGAGAGAAGCACTGTGCATAAAAATGCATGGTGATATATCCTGTTATTTGTGGGATCTTATGAGAAGATGAATGTTATATATATTACTTCCATCCATCAATTGTTTCCTTCATGGTGTAAAAGAGAAAAGGGATCACCTCATGTCCTAATTTCCACTCCAATTTTGCTCCTTTTATATATACAAAAGGGTTAAAGCTGGAAAAAACAAATATCTCATTTGAGATTGCACATGTTAATTATTTATAGTAATTAACTTTCAGTGGCTCTGGAAAAAGTGCATTTTAATAGATAGATTTTGACAATGCAGATTCTTGATATTAAATCCTTTGACCTTTTTATTTCTTAGAATAGAGTAGTGCTGGACAGGACCTTGGAGGTCTTTTAGTCCAGCCCCCTGCTAAAGCAGGAGAACCTATACCATTTCATATACAAGTGACTGTCTTGCCTCTTCTTAAAAATCTCCAGTGATGGAGTGCCCATGATTTCTGAAGTCAAGCTGTTCCACTGGTTAATTGTCCTCATTGTTAGGAAGTTTCTCCTTAATTCCAGGTTGCTTCTCTCTTTAATCAGTTTCCAACCATTGTTTCTTGTCTTGCCCTCTGGTGCTGTGGTTCATTTCTCTCAGCTTTCTCATGACTTCCAGGTTTGTCTTTTTCCAATTAATCATTTTATATTTACTAATGTTTAATAAATAACTATCAAGCTATAGTGTTTGCTACCTGAACTGAGTAGCATGAGCATTTGCTCTGATTTGGATATAGAAACTGACTGGAAGTACACTGGGTGGAAATTAAAACATTGTAATTTTCCAGTCATGTATTCATCTATTATCATTCAAAACTACTATATCTGGTTATTATCTGAAACGACCATTCAAAATTATTATAGGTGGTTACTATCTATGAAAACCATTTCAAAGTTACATGCTATACTTTCTCCCCAGACAAAACTCCTGTCAAATTATGGAAATGGAAAGCTCAAAAAGCAATATATTTATTTTATTTTCCTAAATAATTTACTTCACCATATATACTTTATATTATTAAATAATAAAAGTTTGATGTATTAAATACACCAAATATCCTAGAGTTATAGGGGAACTCTCTTGTTTGTATTGTTGCAAGCTAATTTGAAAGAACTGGAAACATCAGACTTTGCAAAAAAGTTATTAACTCATGCCCAGCTTATTTTTTCTCAATAACTATCAAAAAGTCTCTGATTCAAAATAGTATTTTTTGGCTTACAGGATCAGAGCCATTACACTCTCTACTGAAGACTTTATTGAATTTTACACTAAGCTTTAGCTGACTGAACAGGTCAAACAGTATAGCTTGGAGTTTTACTTTATTCACAGAAATCCATAAGCTGCCTCCAGTCAGCAATGTAGTTTGTAAAGAAACTTGACTCAGCAAAGAGTCTGAGAGCCTGACCCTTTAGAAAAAGTCAGAGAGTTTTCAAAGCCAGCTCCTAAATGCCATTAACTTACATGCACTAGTTGCTCCTGCATGTCAAACTCTCGTGAACAGCCGTCCCAATGGCAGTTTGTCTCATAGACCACTTCAGGTTCTTGCTTGCTTTCATCTTTCTCCCCTTCCTCCTTTATTGAGGTCATTCCTTCCGGTGGTTCCTGTGATGGCCACGGAAGTGAGGAAGCAGATGAAAAAACAAACACTTAGGTCTTAGTTTCCAGTATTATTGAGTCCCAAGCTGATACTGGGACTCAAAAAAAGATAAAGGTACAGTTTTAAGATACATATCTAAGATCCTTCATCTTTTTCCCAAACTTTCTCAACTTTCAACTTTGAAATAAAATCAAAATAAAATAAAAATTACAAAGTCTGTAACAGAATTGTCTTGTTGTCCAGATTAAGACCACTTCTGATAAAGTTTTAAAGCTTTGCTAAAACAGAGCAATACTTTTAGATCCATCTGCTGTTATACAAAATAAACTATTTTAAATGTAAATCATTATTGGCTATGCAGCATGATGTGAAGAAACTGTTCAGAAAAGGAGTCCATCTCCTTAGCCGCAGCTTTTCAGTTATCAATGATGTGCAATCTGTCCTCAGCAACTGTTCATGTTATCTCAATTGACCAATTTTAATACCACTGAAACTTCTATTTAAAGCAAATGTTGTCTCAGAATAAAAATAAAAATGAAGATTTAATGAAGTGATTACTAAACAACACCTACGCAAAAGCAGATTTATGAACAAATTCATGACCACAGAAAGGCATTTCTAGAACTTCGCTTATTGTCTTTTTTTATGTGAGGGGAAGCAGGAGGGGCAACAAATATGCAAACAAGGAGATACCAATATCATGTTTGTGGACTTGGGCTTGGATTTGCAGATTTTAGAGAGAGTGGAGGAACTGAGGATGCTCTTTTAAAAAAACAATTTAATTTCAGGATTTACATTATCTTTTTGGGTATTTCAATCTAATGAAAGATTACTCCGTTCATTTCTTGCAATGATACTATTAAAATTTTGTTAGCGTCAATAGCAACTCGGGATCTTGAGACAGCCTTTACAGGACTCAATTTTTCCTATTCAAGCAACCAATAATTGCCATTGTAAAATGTTATGCAAAGATTAATAGTAGATGTAGAACATATGCTTTTGCAAAAATTATTCACAAAAACAATTAATACAAAATGTGCCCTCTTCCTATGACAGATAAAAGCACAGTTTACCTGCATGCTTCCACCTCCTGGGCTGGGGAGGTCATCATCTGGTTTTATCTTGGAACGCTTGTTATGCATTGGGTCCCCTGTGCTGCTCACTGCAGACTCACTTGTGGGCTTACTCTGAAGCATATATTTATACCCAGAAAATATAAGTAGACTTTGAGTTAAAATACAATACATGCTGAATATTCAAAGAAATCACTAAAGTTCACTGAGCTCAGATTTCTATGATTGAGAGAAATCTTTTTATGTTCTTGAATTTCTCTTCCATTTTCAAAATTATAATTTCTCAGTAATGCTTTTACTTTATCTGATTGAATGTTATATAATAATTTATAATTTCTTTAGATAAATTATTACATAAGAAAATAAACCTTCCTGACTGAAACTTTTCTGAACTCAGTAACAAACCAGCCCAACACAAGAAAAAAAGATAAACTATTTATCTAAAAAACTTTTATTACTGCACTCCTTCTATATTTGCCTAGATGAAATTTTACATTTTTTATTACTCACTTTAAAAAAAATGAAATAAACTTTTTTTCATTGCCTTTTGCCTGCAGGACACATTTTGCTATCTTCTATTTGAAATAAATGTATCTAAACATACATTTCCTTAAATATTACACAGAATTAGTTTATTCAGTGTATGTTCCAGATTATATTATTATAATTTTAGAGCCTCCTAGTTTAGGATCGTCACGATCTGCAACAAATTAACATAAGATCTTTGAAATGGGCTGAAGATAGCAGAATCTTACAAATTTTACTAACACAACTTTATCCCTCCACAGAGAATGCAATACCATGTCCGTTGATTTGGGAATTATTGTATTGACACACAATATGTTTTTTTAAATTTTCTGCTTCTTTTCTACTTACCATGGGCTCTTGAAATTTTCTGACTGTACTGGAAATTTGAGAAATCTCTATCTTAGTATTCTATGTATCATGAAGTACAGTATAAAGCAGTGTTTCTCAACCTTGACAATTTTAAGGCATGTGGACTTCAACTCCCAGAATTCCACAGCCAGCATTGCTGGCTGTGGAATTCTGGGAGTTGAAGTCCACATGCCTTAAAATTGTCAAGGTTGAGAAACACTGGTATAAAGCAAGAGAGAAATTGCTGTCTCATAACACTTAGCATATGTTCATGGGCATCTTTGGATCCTAATCTTTGGTTCAAAAATCAAGAGATTTTTGTCATTTACCTTCTTAGAGCAGGGAATAAATTGTATCCCTTTGCTGTTCAAATGTCCTTTACTTGAACATTCTAAAACTGTAAGTTCCTATACAAAGAATCTGGAAGTTATTGAAATATTTATAAGGGATGGAAAACACTCCATCAATTCAAAAGCATGATATACTCAAGGTAATTTATAATAAAAGACTGCATACATTGCAGCCCCAAGGTACTAGTTAGCACATCTGTTCTAAGAGCTGTGATGATTAATCACTGTTGTGGACAAGTCAGTATGGTGCAAAAATCTTTCCTTACATTCCCTTACCTGTGCAGCTTCTGAAGGACCTGAGCTGACCTGAACAGGAGTCAAGACATTAGGGATGCCGGGAATAGGCCTCTGTGTAGGAAAGGTTGGAGCAGGATGGATGAGTGGAGGACTATGCCCAAAGGCTGAACCCAAACTTTGCTGTCGACTGATGATCTGTTGATGCATCTGCTGGAGGGATACTGGTGTGGGAGGGTATGCGAAACTTAGCGCTGGGCTGTATTATGATGGGAAAATAGAAGTAAAGATCATTGAGTCAAAAGATATGTGAATTATTATTATATTCAAAACAAGAATCATAGGTTTGCCTTAACAGATGCTTTCACTCAGAGATGCCATGATGCATATTTTAAATCATGTACCAGCTTTATATGGAAGTTATCACTGTGAATATTTTTGAAAGTGAAGAACTAGTTCACATGTGGAGCTCTGACCTGTCAGATATATGACTGTTAGATCTTGATTTGACATGGCACTTTGTAAGCAGCAATTTAGACCTATACTCTAAGTGCAGACAGTATGTAAACCGATTAAATAAATTTTTCAAAGCTAGGGAGTTCTAAAAGTGATAGATAACTTTTTCTAAAAAAATAATACTGTAATCTATTTTTATCTGAAACGTTTCAAACTCATTGATCTCCTTCCACTGGACACACAACATAAATTCTGTTAGTCTGTTATTCATACCGCTTATATACAGGACTTTCTGTATACCTGTCATGCTTTATTTCCAGAGATAGAAAAAAAAAAGATACTTGGTAATTCTTTCTATTCTGAATAATTAACATATTAAACGTTCCCCTAAGGCACCTAAATGAAAAGAGAATTTCTTGGCACGTGGGTTTTTTTTTTGTCCTTTTCCAAACAAAATATTTTACCAAAAGTATTCCAAATTTGAATGACTACCCATGATTCAGAAATTTGACATTAAGAAGATTCTCCCAGCATGAGCAATTGAAGTTGAGAAATGATTTTAACTGCTTAACATCACAGAAAGATAATGAGATGAGCTATGGGAGGAAACAAAAACAACTATCTCTCAGGTCCCCTTCGGGAACCCTGCCATTCTGTTGGAGGGGAGAAGACTCTGGGGAGCATTCTTTGCATGCTTTTGCTTCTGCTGCATGGGAATTAGGGAGGGGGATCATCTTCAGAGATGAAATGGACTCCCTCTCAGCCGGTTCCAGCCTGACTCCAAAGTTGCTGTGCCCTGAGGATGATCCATTATCAAGTCTGTATCCAGCACTTTCAAAATAATCTTGTGGCACTGTATTGGCAGCTGGTGGATTGGTTGGGGGGGGGGGTGGCTTTTGGAATGGGAAGAATTGCTTTGTGCTTTGCACAGGACTTTAGATTCCACCTGTCTTTGCTGCAACTATTTCTCTCAGTAAAAGTTCTGTTGATTAACTTTACGGAGTCAAGAGTTGTGCTTTCCTGAGAGGGTCAGCTAGGGCAGGTCCTTACATTAGGCAGAATCTGCAAAATTGGTCAACCCAGAGAGGCACCGAGCCCTACCTAAGGAATGTCTGCATAAGGAAGCGACCAAGAGAAAGCAGAATGCTGGGGATAACCCTCATCTGAGGCAGCCAAGGACACAATTGGCAAATGGAGCTGAAGAGCTCAAAGATGAATGGGAAGAAGGCAGTGAGGCTGACCACACCAACCTCCTCATGAAGTAAGCCATGTGCTTCATGATGGATGGATTCCAGAACCTTAAGGCATGCGAGACCCTAGCCTGGGTGACTGCTGGTGACATCCACCAAGTTTGAGAGGAGGAGGATGGTGAGAAAATCTTACCACAAGACAGCATGGCAGGAATTTCAGCAACCCCAATCAGTACCATCACGACTGGTGGAACAGTACAAAGGGGACCCACTAGAACCAATGTCCTGGGAGGTGCTGGTGCAGCAGTCCCACGAAGACAAAAAGCCCCACTGCTGGGCATGAAATTTGACAGGGACTCCCAATAGCTGGGATTCTTCCTGGCCCATGTCCTGACCTACATGCAAGAGAATGGGCCGAAGATCACCAATGAAGGCACCAAAATGAGATGTGTCACACTGAGCTGAAAGGAGCTGCAGACCATTGGATATTGATACTCCACAATGAGAAAACTTGTGAACTGAGCAGTTCATGACAGTGCTCCGTCGCCAGTTTGAGGACCCTCTGGGTGATTGAAAAATGAGGGACTGCATAAAGACTGTGCAGCAAGGCTGTAGGGCCATGGAAGAGTACACTGAGGAATTTCATGATTTGGCATGCCGACCTGACTGACCAGAAGACATCCTTATAAGCTGTTTTAAAGATGGGCTGAAGAATGACTTGTACCATGCCTGTGTTGCAAGGGGTCCCCTGCAACCTTCCACAACTGGTATGTACTGGCTGAAGAAATAGAAGTTGTCTAAGCCCGGAACAAGTACCATGCGACAAGGGCATGGAAATGATCACCCCTAGAGAAGAAGGAAGCAACAAAACCCCTGGCTTCGTAAGTCCGATCCACAGCCTGCTTTAAATATGGCCAGGAAGGACACCAAGCTATAGAACGTAAGACCGGCTGTACAGCCAAGAAGGCAAGCCCAAAACCTGCAAGGAAAACCACCAAGGCACAACCACATGCCAGAGAAATGGCATTGAAGGGAGTGGAGATCATCCCCATTGCCCAAACTCTGATCCCAACAGATGACAACCAGAGGTTGATAGACACCGACTCTAACAATGACTCCCTAGTAAGTGGCCCAGTTTTGCCAGTGTCAATTCCCATAGAACTGAGCTTCCCTGGGTAAAGAATGAAAGCCAATTTAAGAGCCCAATTAAACTCGGGCTGTATCCGCACTTGGTAGATCTAGCACTGGTCAAGAAACTTGGAATCTGACTAAGGAGCTAAAAGTCCCAACTGCATTCTGCCAATTAGATGGGTGTGTTGCATGGAGCATCCCAGCAACATTTGCCAAAAAGCCCATAGAGATGTAGATGGGGCCCATTCAGAGGTCCTGAGCTTCATAGTGGCACCTGGGATGGACAGACTCCTAGTCCTAGGGCTAGCCTGGCTAAAAAGGTGGACTGTTAAAACTCCGGATGCATTGCCTCTCCCAGACCCAGTAAAAAAATCAAAAAGTGACCATCCCACGGCACAAGCTAGGAGTTACTATGCAAGAGAAGACTTCCCCATCATTCCCAACAAAAACTGAGATCTCAGAGATGTGTTTAGCGAGAAGGGGTCAGATGAACTCCCCCTCACAGTGCTATAGAAATCCTGACTGTGCTATAGAAATCCTGCCGGGTGCCAAGTTACCAAAACCAAAACTATATTCAATGATCCCCAGGAAGCTAGAAGAATTGTGATTGTTCATTGATAGGAATTTAACCCAAGGTTTCATTCAAGTGACATGACCCTGGGTGGCTGTCCTGGTCCTATTCCAGGAAAAGAAGGATGGGATCCTAGAGGATTAAACACAGGGTTGTTTTTTTTTTTTGTGTGTGTGTGTGTGTAGAATGTTTATCATGTACTCCTGATGAAAGACATGCTAGCCCATCTGACTAAGGGCAGAAATTTTACTAAACTAGATTTGCAGGAAGCGTATTACTGCATAAGAATCAGGGAAAGCGATGAATGGAAAACTGTGTTCAATTACCCGCTTGGTTGTTTCCAATGCAAAGTACTTCCTTTTGGGTTACAGGGAGCCCCTGCTATCTTCATATAGTTGATTAATGAGTCCTACACAAGCATCTGTACAAGTGGGTGCTGGTGTATTTGGACAACATTTTGATCTATACTGAGATCAAAGTGGAACATGTGAAACTAGTGAGGGTAGTCTTCCAGAAGCTACATGCTGCCAAATTGTATGCCAAGCTCTCTAAATGTGAATTCCACCAAAGCAAAATAGACTACCTGGGCATGACAGAATTGAAATGGACTCTGAAAAGAGAGGTGCTAGAATGTGCACCACTCTGCACTAGGAAGCAACTGCAAAGCTTCCTAGGGTCTGCAAATTTTTACAGGAAATTCATTCCTTCATTTGCCCAAATAGCCCTCTCCATTATGAACTTGCTAAAAACTAAAGGAGGGGACAAACCCTTGAAATGATCGATGTCAAGCTGCATTTGAGAAGCTCAAAGACTTTTTTATATCAAACCTGTTTTAAACCACCATGACCCAACAAAGCTGTTTGTTATATAAGCTGATGTAAGCAATGAAGCTGTAGAAGCTGTTTTACTGCAGGAAAACAAAAATGGGCAGCTGCAACCTTGCATTTATACCTCCAAAAAGGTTTCTGAGACTGAACAGTGATGGGCTGTGTGGGAGAAAGAGGCTTATGCAGTGAGATGGGAACTCCTCTCCTGGAGGCACTATTTAGAAGGGAGTAAAATACCTTTCAAAGTATGGACTGATCACAGGAATCTGGAAGTTCTGAGCCCCCCCACGAGCTCTCTCCTAGACAAGCACAATGGGCACAGTACTTCAACTGCTCTGATTTCACCCTAAGCTATCTCCCAGGGAGGAAGAACTTTCTAGACAACACACTGTTACATATGCCGCAATACAATTGTTCCAAAGCAGAGTTAATCAAACCAGTGCTTCCATCCCATCAGCTGACGGTCCAAATAACTACCTGAATGCAGACAAAAGGAAAACCTCCAATAGACAGTGATGTGATTTCTGCCCTTAAAAGCTGCACTAACTGATAACAAATGGTTCCAAATACATAGTAACGTTTGCTCAGTCCGAGATAGACTACGATAGATGGGGGCAAAACTTTATGTACCAGCTAGTCAGTGACTCATGATTCTAGGAAACTGCCATGATTCCAAAACAGCAGAACATTTTGGTTTCGTGAAAATGTTACAATTGGTGAAAAGGCAGTTTTGGTGGCCATCTCTCAAAAAAGACATTGAAAGCTATATGCCCTGTTTGAGCCTCAGCCAAGTGGTGGCAAGGAAAGACACCAGACTTCTTCAGATGGTAGTTAAACTGTCAGCACCTTGGAGAGAGATCTTGATTGTGGAACTTCCCGAAAGCTTGGGAAATATGGTAATTTGAGTAGTGATTAATTTGTTCTCCAAGCAGGTGCATTTTATTCCATGCCAGAAAATTCTATCATCCTGGGGCCTTGCCAAATTATTCCTTCATCATATCTATCAATTACATCCCAATGCATCATCTCAAATAGAGGGGTGCAGTTTACCTTTATGTTTTGGAGGGCTTTTCTGGATCTACTT